GGCAGCTGAGCCTTTCCCGCAAGGCCAGGCCACCCCAACTGCTGCGGCTGCTGCTGCTGCTGGGGTTCAAGCGGGTGCTGCAGGTAGTGCTGTTGGAGCTGAGGCAGTGCTTGCTGCTGCTGCGGAAGCAGCTGCTGCGGTGGTGACAACAGCTCCTGCTGCAGCTGCAGCGGAGGTCGGTACTGCTGTGGCCATGGCCCCTGCAAATTTAGCTGCTGCTGCGGCTGCTGGTACGGCACCGCAGGCTGCTGCTGCGGAAGCTTCTGCTGCTGCAGGCGTTGCGGCTGCTGCTGCAACTGCTGCAGGCCTCCATGACCCACGGGCTGAAGAGGCTGCAGAGTCTGCTGCTGCTGCTGCGCCATTGCCTGTGGGTAGGCTAAGTCTTGTCGCTGCGTGCGGAGTTGCTGCTGCAGGAGCTGCTGCTGCAGCTGCTGCTGCTGAAGCTGCTGCTGCTGCAGCTGCTGCTGCTGCAGCTGCTGCTGCTGCAGCTGCTGCTGCTGCAGCTGCTGCTGCTGCAGCTGCTGCTGCTGCAGCTGCTGCTGCTGCAGCTGCTGCTGCTGCAGCTGCTGCTGCTGCAGCTGCTGCTGCTGAAGTCGCTGGCGGCGACTCTGTTGTTCCTGCAAGTACTGCGGATGCGGCAGCAACTGCTGCTGCAGTAGCTGCTGCGGCAGATGTTGCTGCTGCATCTGCTGCAGTGGTTGCTGCTGCAGTAGCTGCTGCGGCAGTGGCTGCTGCTGCATCTGCTGCAGCGGTTGCTGCTGTTGCAGAGACTGGCCAGACGAAAAAATCTGGGGCGAAAGAGCCCCTGGCTGCTGCAGCTGCTGAGAGAGAAACGGTCGCTGTTGCTGTTGCTGCAACCTTTGCTGCTGCAGCACCTGTTGTACTGGCTGCGGCAACTGCTGCTGGACGGGCTGTGGCTGGTGCAGCAGCAACTGCTGCGGCCGCTGTTGCTGCTGCTGCTGCAGCAAACCTGAAGAATGGATCTGTTCCACAGGGTTGACATTCTGCTGTATCGTAGGAGTCACAGGGAGTCGATGTTGCCGCTGCTGCTGCTGCTGCTGCTGCTGCAGGTGGGCTTGCATTTCTGCAGCAAGAGCTGCCTGCTGCGCAGAGGCCGCTGCCCAGGGCTCGAACGGAGCCTCAAGAAAGGCCCCCTGGGGTGCTGAAATGGCTAAAGGCTGCTGCTGCTGCTGTTGCTGCTGCTGCTGCTGCTGCTGCTGTTTGATGGCCTGTTGGTCCTCCTGCTGCTGTGGGTAGTGGCGGTGCTTTTGCTGCACAGGTTCCAGCTGCTGGTCGAGATACTGTGGTTGCAGCTGCTGCTGCATATGCTGCTGTTGCTGCTGCTGCAAGTGTTGCTGCTGCTGCTTCGCTAACAAACTGCCGTAATGACTCCCGTGAAGAGCTGGGCTGTCGTCAGTTGCCTGTGCTTGCTCGTTTAGCCCCGTTGGCACCTCTTGCTGTTGCTGCTGCTGCTGCTGCTGCTCAGCAGCGCCTTGTGCCGCTGCACCGGGAATTGGAGGCCACTGTTGCTGCAGGTGCTGCTGCTCTGCTGCATCTGTCAAGTCTGAGTCTGCTGCTGCTGCTTCTTCATCCCACCATGCGTCTCCCCAGTCCATTAAGAGCCTTCCATCTTTTGTGTCTTCTGCTGCTGCTGCTGCGGCAGCAGCAGCAGCAGCAGCAGCCTTCTTTCGGCCTTTGTACTTGCGCGCGGTCTCCTGGTGCTGGTCCTTGCTGCCGTGCGCTGCTGCAGCTGCGGCGCACTGCTGCGCTGCTGCAGCAGCACCAAAGTCACCGGAAGCAGCAGCAGGACCCAAGGAAGCAGATCCTTGAGACATTTGAGATTCTTCAGATTCTTCAAAAGGTTCTAAAGGATCAAAAGAGACAGAGCGTTGCCAGGTCTGCGTTGGCCAGCCCTCACCGTCTCCCGGTTGCTGCTTCTGCTGCTTCTCCTTGTCGCCCTGCTGCTGTTGCAGCAGCAGCTGCTGCTGTTGCTGCGCGTTTGTCGTGAGCTTCGACCCCCGTTGCTTCTGTTTCCGCTGCTTCTCCTTCTTTTGCTGCTTCGCCTCATGACGGACAGCTGCATGCGGCTTCGGAAGCTCCCACCAGGGCTCGTCCTCCATCTCTTGCTGCTGCTGCTGCTGCTGCTGCTGTTCGTTTTCGTCATCTGGTGGCTCGTCAGGGAGGCGCAGCGGGGCTGCCCAGGTGTTGCGCTGCTGCGAAAATCCTGAGGCAGCAAATGGCGTTGTTGCTGCTGCTGCTGCTGCACCTCCAGAAGCAGGAGACCGGAAGTGGAACTCAAAAGGGTCGCCATCTGCTGCAACAGGAAACTGAGGAGCATCAACAGCAGCAACAAGCTTCTCTCCCGATGCTGCTGGCGTTGCTGCTGCTGTCGCGGGTGCAGACTCTGGGAACTGCACACGGAACGAGCGAAAGGGGATCTCCGGGGTTGCTGCTGCTGATGTTGAATCTGCTGCTGCTGCTGCGTCGCTTGCTGCTGCAGCACCTTCTGCTGCTCCCCCTCCCGTGCTTTCTCGTTCTGCTCCCCCTGAGTCCCGGTGGCTCTTGAAGGGCCAATAATGTGACAGCCTCTGCCTCTCATGCTGCTGCTGCTGCTGCTGCTCCTGGCTATCAGTGCCTGTACTCCCTTGTGCTGCCTGCTGTGCTGGAGCAGCAGGTTCAGGCACAGCTGCACCAGCAGCAGCCCCTGAACTGCTGCGTGCTTCTGTTCCTGCTGCATTGTTGCCACTGCTGCCCGTGTTGCGGCGCAGTCGGAAAGGGAGAGAGAACAAAGACTTCTTCGCTTCACCATCAGGCTGCTGCTGCTGCTGCTGCTGCTGAGCAGCTGCAGGTGAATGCTGCTGCTGCTGCTGCTGTTGCTGCTGCTGTTGTTGCTGATGTGGGGGAGTCGGCGACTGCTCAGGCTGAGATGGGGACGTCTTCATGCGCTGTTTTTCGGGGAAGGGATTAAATGCGCTGAACAGCTTTTTCGAAAGATGCTGCTGCTGCTGCTGTGGCTGGTGCTGCAGTGGTTGGTGTGACAGCTGCTGCTGCAGTGGCTGCTGCTGCTGATGCTGTGCTGACTGCGGAGAAGTTTGCGGCTGAGGGTGCTGCAGGTGCTGAGGCTGCAACTGCTGCTGCTGTGGCCACACAGGCTGCGGAAAGTGCTGTTGCTGCTGCTGATGCTGCTGCTGCTCATGCAGCTGCTGCTCTTCGGCAGGAGGAAAAGGACTGCCAGACATCCGTTGCTGCAGCAGATGCTGCTGCTGCGGAGGCTGCAGCTGCTGTAGCTGAGTCAGCGGCGCTTGCGGGGGCACATTGAATGGACCAGGCTGCTGCTGCTGCTGATTCTGCTGCTCCTGTAGGTTGCCGAATTGCTGCTGCGGGTGCAGATGGGCCCGTTGGTGTTGCTGCAGCTGCTGCTGCGGATACGAAGGGGCCTGAGGGTGTTGCTGCTGCTGCTGCTGCTGCTGCGGCTGCTTGAAGACAAATGCTCCAACTGGCCTTGGCTGCCAAGTTGAAGGCCGGCGAGGAGGCGGCCAGTCTGCTGCTTCCGTTTCTAGCTTAGCTACTGCTGCAGTTTGCGTTGCTGCTGCTGCAGGCGTTCTGTCTCCTGTTGCTGCTGCCGGCGTTGCAGCATCGGCCCCGCCCACTGGCCACTGAGGGGCTTGCTCCCGCTGCTGCCGCTGCTGCTGCTGCCGCTGCAGCAGCTGCGGCTCCCGCTGTCGCTGCTCCGCCCTGTGCCTGCGCTGCTGCGTCTGCCGCTCTTCCTGCTGCATCTGCAGTAGCTGCTGCTGCTGCGGGCTGCTGCCACCAGTAGGTCTTCGGGCCGACCCAGGGGGCTTCCTGCTAGCTGGTATCACCTCAGAGGCTTCGGCAGCAGCAACAGAAGCAGCAGATGCAGCAGCAGCAGCAGCAGGAAGCACTGCTTCAGACTGCCTCCACCTCGTCTGCCCTGGAGTTGCTGGTGAAGGATGCTCCGTTGGAGTGCGGGGTTCGTCTGCTGCTGCTGCTGCTGGTAACGTGGGAAGCGCTGCTGCTGCTGCTGCTGCGAGTGCAGCTGTCGTGGTAGATGGTGGCGATGACGGTGGCGGCGGTGGGGGGGCTGGAGGTGGCAACGCTGCTGCTGCTACCGCGTGCGCCGCTGCTGCAGCAACATGTGACGATTCTGCTGCTGCTGCTGCTGCTGCTGCTGCCTGACGCTGGGCGTCCACGTACCCTTGTTGCTGCTCATCAATGAAAAGACCACCTCCTGAACCCCGCGTGCTGCCAGTTTGTGTGTCGGCAACGATATGATGTGCAGCAGCAGCAGCAGCAGCTGATGGAGTTCCCGTTGCTGCAGCAGCAGCAGCCAACACAGGACTGATACCCACAAGATTCGCCATCCCAGGCAGCAGTAGCTGTTGCTGCTGCCCAACGCCCGCAGATGAAGACGCAGTTTGTATTATCTGCTGCTGTTCAATTGACTGCTGTTGCTGCTGCTGCTGCTGCTGCTGCTGCTGCAGTTGCAGCTGCTGCAGTTGTAACTGCTGCAATTGCAATTGTTGCTGCTGCAGTATCTGCTGCTGCTGGTGCAGCTCGGGCAATCCCTTTGCAGCCTGTTGAAGCAGGAGTTCCCTCTCAGCATGGGGCAAGTCAGCAGCTGCAGCTGCAGCAGCAGCAGCAGACCGTGCTGCTGCTGCAGTTGCCGGATCTCTACAGTGAGCAGCTACATCGGCGTAGAAAAGTGCATCAAGGGCAGCAGCAGGATATGAAGGACGGGGCTGCGGCAAAGGCTGTTGCTGCTGCTTCTGCTGCTCTTGTTGCTGCTCCTGTTGTTGCTCCTGTGGCTGCTGTTGCTGCTGCTGCTGCGCATTCGGAAGCAGGGACAGGTCCTTTTGCTGCGCACTCGGGAGCAGGGATGGCTCCTGCTGCTGCTGGTGCTGCAGCGTTAGCTGCTGCTGCCCCGATGGTGCATGCCGCTGCAGCAGCGCTTCTTTCTTTACTGGCGGCTGCTGCTCTGTTGCCAACTGCACCTGCTCCTTTTGCTGCTGCTGTTCCAGAGTGAGTGGCTGCTGGGGAATCGGTTCGTGCTGCAGCAGCTGCTGCTGCTGCAATCCCACCTGCTGTGATGTCCCTTGCTGCTGTAGTGCGGGTTCTTGCTGCTGTTGCTGTGTCAGCGGCTTCTGCTGCTGCATAGACAGTTGCTGCTGCAGCGACTCTTCCAGAAGCTGGAGTTGCTGCAAGGTGTCACTGTTGGCACTTAACGGAGTCAGAGGGAGGTGGTCGGTTTGCTGCTGCTGCTGCTGCTGCTGCCCTTCCGAAGAGTCAAACAGATCCAGAAGGTCCACAGTGTAGTTGCTAGTTTTCTGTTGCTGCTGCGCAGCGACAGCACCCGCTCCTGCTGCTGCTTCTGACGCTGTTGCTGCCCGGCTGCTCCTTGCTGCATTGAGTTCTTGACTATTTGCTGCTAGCTGCTGCTGCCTTTGTCTGCGCTGCTTCTCCCTCGGCTCCCCACCCGCCGCTAAGGGCCGCGCACCAAGAGCACTTGCGGCTGGTGAAGCATCGGCAGCAGAAGCCCCAGCAGCAGCAGCAGCAGCAGCAGCCTCAGCAGCAGCAGCAGCAGCAGCAGGTATCACGGGCACAAAGCGGAAACCCTCAACTACCAAAATGCCGCTCTTTCGGGACTTGTGCTCCAGAGGCAAACGACTGACGCTGGTCACTTCCTGGGGAATGAGGCAGCAAGCCAAGTAGGCCACTCCCACGCATTTGTCATCTTGCTGCAGCGCAGCAGAGCACAGAGCAGCAGCAGCAGCAGCAACAGCAGCAGTCAGGCCCAGATAAAAGGCTCCTCAAGTGAAAGGACAAAAACACCGGTGCATACAGATAGAAACGTCATGGGGAAACACAGCGGCTGCAGCAGAAACTGCAAACAGCAGCAGCAGCAGCAGAACCTGCAAACAGTAGCAGCAGCAGAAAATGGGGAAAAAGCAGCAGCTGCAGAGGCCCAGGAGCTGGAGCGCACACAACGTCAGCACCCACAAACAGAAGCAGCAGCAGCAGGGGGCACCAGATGCAGCAGCGGGAGGCACAACCAGCAGCACATAGCAGCACAATTAACACTGCAGCAGCAAGAGCTGCAGCAGCAGCTGCTGCTGACCACAAGCCTCCTTCTCCATAAAGAAAACTTCAGCTGATTTCTCGGTGAGACCCCAAGAATGCCGCAGGTGAACTGCAGAGGCACAAGCGCTTTCGTCCCTGAAATGTACCCCACAGCAACCGCAGCAGCAGCAGCAGCCGCAGCAGCACAAGCTTAAGTACACCTTGGGCCCCCCTGCCGCCAAGCCCGTGTTGCAAGAGTCCGCGGCTGCAATGCAGCAGCAGCAGCCTCAAAGCCGCTTTGCTTCTGCCGCCTTTGGCAGCAGCAAAGCGGCTTTGCCCCGCCACCGCCGCCACAGCAGCACCCCCAGCAGCAGCCAAATCAGCAGCAACAGCAGCAGCAGCAGCACGCGCAGCGCCAGCACCAGCAACAGGACCCGCAGCGGCAACAGCAGCACCCGCAGCACCCGCACCAGTAAATGCACCCGCAGCAGCAGCAGCAGCAACAGCAGCACCCGCACCAGCAACAGCAACAGCACCCTCAGCACCAGCAGCAGCAGCAGCAGCAGCAGGAGCTTGCCTTCGGCCCAGTTGCTGTGCCTGGGAGCTGCTGTGCCGCACTCGACGACGAGTCTGTAGGCGCCGTTGTGCTTGACTTCGCGCGCAGCCCAAACGGACAGCACCAGCGAAGGCGGCAAAGTCTGGGGGCCTCGGGGGCAGCGCCGCAGCCCCAGCAGCCGCCAGAAGCCTCCCTCCACGTGCAGCGACACCGCTCGCTGCATGCACAAACGCATGCATGCACGCATGCATGCATGCAGAGGTGCATGCAGGAGTGCATGCAGAAGTCCGGAAGTGCATGCACAAGTGCAAGCAGACAGGCATGCAGGAAGCAAGGAATGCATGCAGGAATGCATGCAGGAAGTAACGAAGGCATGCAGGAATGCATGCATGCAGGCAGGAAGGCAGGCAGGCAGGTAGGTAGGAAGGCAGGTTGATGTGCATGCAGGAGTGCATGCATGCAGGCAGGCAGGAATGCATGCATGCATGCATGCAGGTAGGCAACAAGGCAGGCAAACAGGGAGGGAGGGAGCCATGCATGCATGCATGCATGCAGGCAGGCAGGCAGGTAGGTAGGAAGGCAGGTTGATGTGCATGCAGGAGTGCATGCATGCAGGCAGGCAGGATGCATGCATGCATGCATGCAGGAAAGGGATGCACTGACATGAATTTGCAAGCGTGTCTGTGTATCAGTATATGCACGTTTGCTTGCATGCATGTGTGCATGCAAGAAAGGTCTGCACCTACAGAAATGTGGAAATATACATATATAAGCAGATATACGATAAATATAAGATATAAAATGATATATACAAACATATTTATGTAGATGAGTGATACAGAAATTTAGTCTTGGAAACTTATGTATACAGACAAACATCTATATATTGATACATTGATAATATGAGGGAGGAACGAGTCTATGCATGCAAGTGCATAATACAGATAAGCATGTATATATATACTTTATATATATATATATATATATATATATATATGTAGTAAATAGATGTATGTACATATATACATGTATATGTGTTATACATATGCATTAATATGTATAACGCATTTGTGCATGTGTAGTAAAAAGCTGCTGCGCCACAGCAGCGCAGCAGCAGCGCAGCAGCAGCGCAGCAGCGCAGCCTGAAGAATAATTGACATCGAAGCTGCTTCAGTGAAGTCAGCAGCAGCAGCCGCAGCAGGCTGGCGACTCAGCGTCGGTACACCCCGAAGAGCAGCAGCAGCAAAGACAATAAAGGCATAAATAAAAATAAACAAAGGGGCGAAATTAGAAGAAGCACCAAAAGCAAGAAAAGGGAAACAGCAGGCTGCAGCAGACATTTGTGGTGAGCCCCCAGAAGCAGCAGCAAGTCCACTGCTGCAGCCTGTCAACGCCGTAGAAACAGCAGCAGCAGCAGAAGCAGCAGCAGCAGCAGCAACAGCAGCAAACGGACCTGCACACTCCAGCAGGACGACACCAGCAGCGCCACAGCAAGCTGCTCCGGAAGGCACGAAATCTCGACCACTTGCTGCAGCTTCCGCAGCTTCTGCGGGGTGAGAGCCAATTCATCCATTCCTTGTGACTGCTGCTGCTGCTGCTGCTCGCGATATTGCTGCTGCTGCTGCTGCTGCTATTGTTTCCGTCACGGGAGCTCGCGCTTGCGAGAGCCTGGCGGAGAAGGCCATCCCGCAAAAGCAAGCGGATCCTACAGACGCATACTGCTGCTGCTGCTGCTTCGCCGCTGCTGCTGCTCCTGCTGCTGCTGCTGCTGCTGCTAACGCTACCCTCGTCTTGGCGAAAAGGCTGCGGCGAGCGGGCGGGGGCAGCAGCACGCCTTCACTGGCGCTGCCACCCCCTTCTCCCGTGGCTTGTCTCTATGAGTTCCGCAGTTTCAGCAGCACGCGAGGAATCAGCAGAAGCGGCAGCAGCAGCAGCACAGTGCTGCTGCCACTGCTGCAGTGGTCTGGCGCGGCGTCGCTGGGTGTTGCAGCTTCTTTTGCCTACGCCTTCTCCCATGGATCAAAAGTGGTGTTTTATAAACTGAAAGAAACCACAGAAAGGCAGAAGACGGCCTAAGGCGCCAGTGGACTGTTTCGGCTTTCGCCAGCGGCGGTGGCCCTCGGGGTGTACATGCACTGCTGCGCAGCAGCGGGAAGATCCGAGGATCTAGCAAGCAATGAATTACTCCATTAATGTCATATTTGGCAGAAAGTTCTTCTGTCTTCCAGCTAACCCTGTGCACCAGTAACGCAGTTTCAACAAGGCAGGCTCCGCCGCTGCCGCTGCCGACCGGGGGGCCCCCTGCAAGGCCCTTCTCGTTAGTTCATTTCGCTGACCCAGCTCGCTCTCCACTGAAAACTCAATTAGAAAAGGCTGAGGGGGTCAAAGTTACTGGGAATGAGCTGCTGCAGGGGCCCCCAGCCCAAGCTGCCGTGGCCTGCTTTTGAAAGGTGACCGCAGGCAAGAAGCCCCAATAGCTGCGTACAGCTATAGGGCTTACTGTTGTGCGCTGTTTGCCTTGCAAATGAGTATATGTTGCAGCTTTCCAGGTGTGGCTCGTTGCTGTCGTGGACGTCCTTGCGAGCCTTCAGGCGGGATCTCCTGGGGGACAGCCATGTGCCTAATCAGCATTTGTTTCTATCTTTTATTGAAAGTATTTCAAATCTGAAAAGGCGCGTCTAGAGACGCTAGAAGCCCTGGAGTTTCCCAATCAAGGCGCAAGCACGGGGAACCTTAGAAGAGTAGCTTTCATCCTCAATACACATTCTTTTGAACTTTTGCTTTTCTTTAAACCTGCATTTTTGCTTATTACACTTGAGGGTAAAAGCCCTGCTGCGGTTTAGCAAGAAAGCAGCTTCTGCTGTTGGCGTCTCCCGACGAATGGCTTCAAGACACCTCAGCGAAGCCTTTACAGGACGGGAACGAGCCGCCTTCACTGAACATAAAAATGAGTTCAAACATAAAAATACAGTGGATTCTTATGCATAATCTGCACCTTCTGTTGCGTTCTTCAGTTTTTGACTCTTGTTCTTTGTGCGTATCAGGGAGTTGCCACTGTTAAACTCAAACATCCTGCAATAGTTTTAATAGAGGTTCACAACCAGGATGGCGCGCAGATAACAAAAGGTATATAAAGTAGACGCCTCTACAATGAGATGGAGAGGAGAGAGGGAGTGGCAGTGCTCCGGCACAAACTTAGACTGGAACTGTGACGAAGTTGAAAAACTACAAGTTCAAAAACTACGGAAGAATGACAAGGAGGAAGATCCTGACTGTTCCTTTCAGATATGCTAATGGAAAGCCTGTGACGAAGAATAAGGCTCCGGTAAACGCGTTCTCAGTGACTAGACAAGGACAGCCGTTACACACTTAGTCGAATTTCACCAGAACTGCAACATCCTGAAGATGGCGTACAAGAGATGCGCAGAACTAGGCGCCCCACAACTCTTCTTTTCCGCAGTTGATTCTAACAGAGTGGAAAAGGAAGTGATTCTAGCGGAGTGGGAAAGAGGGCACAATACAGATAAGTACCGTAGAAATTCTGTCATGGCAGCAGCACTGCTTAGAAGCGTTGAAACCAGCGGTTGAACTTTTTGTTCATCTAGTTTCGCTAACGGTGGAGCACAAAGTTTCATTCGAAAGTAAATCCTAAACCTTACCATGCAAAAAAACGTATTTGGATCAAAATATTTTGGTATTGCATACCTGGTGCCATTAAAGCGTTTTAACCATACATGATATTGCTCATCTGAGCCAATCTTTTTAAACAAAGTAAATGTAGATTTGTAAAACACGATCCACTTGCCTGCATTATTTTTGTGCAACAAAAACAAGGCTTAATGGTTGCTACGAAGTTCACAAGAGAAAGAGTCCCAGCAATGGCTGTCATACTATTGAAGGGCCAAGTGTTGTCTATCCATACCAGGCATAAAAGCCGTTCGTTCTGGAAAGAAACACATGCCAAGCCAACTGAAGTCGTTTACGTTTATTATTTATCAAGTGAGATCTCCATTACAACTTCCAGGCAAAGAATTATCCACGATCCATATACACAGCTAGTGGCTTCTCTCTCGATTTTCATGTGGTGAGTTGCAAAAAGGACTCTCCTCACTCTTAGTTTGTATGGTTTGCTTTCCTTTTCTCAATTGTAGGTACAAAGTAGACGCTAAACCTTACCCTGCAAGAAAACGTATTTTGATAAAAACCTTTTGGTATTGCATGCCTGGTGTTATAAAACGTTTTAAGCATACATAAGATCGCTTATCTGGACCCTGTACACCTTTACTTCCCATTTAAACAAATAAATACCTAATTCTTTATGGCTGGCGGCAGTTAGAATACTAGAATTCACATAGAACTCTTGAAATTTTTTGTATGAACTAATTACAGCTTGAATAAACTAAATATACTTAAAAGATAGATTATGGTAAAGAATCTACCTTATGGAATAAATAGTTCTTTAGACAATTGAGCGCCAGCAATAAGAGCAGTAAATGAGATTTGGAATTACTCTCAATAAAATAAAGATACTTTAGAAAAACACAGTCGTTGCGAAGCCGAAGCAACGTAGTTGATAGTGAAGCAGTGGCTGAACAAAAAGTGAGTACTGTTCCAAGTAGAGGTATTTCTATGGCTAGACTACTGAAGTCCCTGAATGCTGCTGTAGCTTTCTCCTCTATCGTTTCGATGGCTCACGCAACAACTCAGAAGTGAACATCCGCTGAGGGCCTCTATATACAGCCGGAGAAATCGAAACCATTCTTCGAATTAAACGCGGCACTAACAAAGTGTTTCTGCCAAAGCTAATCAATAAGTAAAAAACATCTCGCAGGCGGCAGATACACATGCCAGGCAGAATCCATCATTCTAAGTTCAACAAGTAATGTTGTGTCCCGAGATTCAGAAGTTCAAACATTATGTGTAATGAAACTGTTTTAAAAAGATGATTCAGTGCCTCAAACAAGAAAACACTCTCCATCGGCTGTGTTGCTGGCTGCAGGACGACCCGACTCGCCTACTCGATGCTTCATGCAAGCAAATACATTTTATAATCGACAAACGAAGCATACGCACAACCTTTACGTTGGGTAACGGAGTCTCCTCTGCCGTCTCAGCAAAAGCGTTGCAGAGTGAGGAAGCTTGAGTGCGCTAAAAACCTGAAAAGCTCACAGCTAGATCCCTCTTTGTGGGTCACTCACCAACTCCCAGCTACTTTCCTCTCTGCTTGAAAGGAATCTTGCGCTCGAAGTCCTTGGAGCTAGTGGACCTATCAATCCTAAATTCGAAGCTGTTTATGCTATTCTTTGCAACAGTTAGCGCACAGCTATGGAGTCGAAATTCAACTGGCATAAGAGCGCGGCGATTAACCGTAAAATCGCCCGCAATGTAGGATTTAGGACAGCACAAGCAAAATAGGCGAGCTGAGCGTTCACAGTCCATTTGAAATAATATACAAGCACATACACGCTAGCTTCGAGGCCAAAGACCACAAAAGAGACTGGGAAACAACTACATGCAGCGTCCTTCTCCCGGAGATATACTTACATTCCAATGCAGATTACGTCACCCGAAACAAGGTAAAATGCCTTTGGGGCGGAGTGCACCTTCCCGTTGAAGGGAACACATCATTCTATGCAGAAACCAAAAACGTACGTGCAGCTTTGGGCTGTGGGAGTTTTGTTTCACGCATTACATCTGCGCTGCACACGGCACGCCTCTCACCTCCTTCCCCTTCTCTGCGTCTGGGCTCCTGTAAGCTTTTCTTACGTGGGGAAAGACAGCATTGCTTCTTTCCCTTCGTCATTGTCCTCGACTGGACTACTTCGACAGTCGGCTTAAACGCGTACGTTGAAAGTCAAAGTGGCTACGAGCTTCGTCTGTCAGCACATCTACCTTCGCTATACCCTACATCGTTGCTTCTATCTGCTCTGAAATTCGCCGAACATTTAATTCCCATGCACCATCCACTATATCCTGAGTGTTGAACAGTGTAAAAAAAACAAGGCGGTTTCCAGCCCCCCGTTTGCAAATTAAAACGACTTTGTGCCGCCCTAGCCAATTTAGGCGCACAGGCGGCTCCCCTCTACTCGCATTTAAAAAGCTACTGACCCGGGGCCACTGCTGTGCACAGGGAAGCCAGCAAAGCGACGGGAAGGGTCAAAATATTCTCTTGGACCTCCCGCACCCGGCCCACAAACGCGAGTGCACATCCAAAACACCGAATGCATCAGCCCATTAAAATTTTCTCGGCTTCCTCTCCCCGCCCCTTCGGTTAGCACACAAAGGGGAACGTGGCGCTTCATCTGCGCGGAGTGGACTTCCAAGCGATGAGGTGGTTCTCTATAAAACTACAAGGGATTTTGGAAGACGGGACGCATGTATTTACATGCAGTTTACACCCGAATACCACGGAATCACTTTAAAATCAAGGTAGGGGACCTACTGCCATGGAACGCCAAAAGGATGTACAGAAGAACTTTCACTTGAATTTGAAAGAATCCATCACGATCAAAACGCCAGCATCACCACTCATCAGAACTTGATGCGTCATCTAAGTGGCCATGAGACACTGTGCTGCGCAGTCCTGAAGATCTTTTCTTCTTGTGTCCTTTGCTGCGCTGCGGCTTTTCATCTTCATCAGAATCTTCCTTTTGCTTTCCTCCGCTCCCAAATTGCAAGACAAAGCCTGGTTCTTGCTGCACAAAAGTTGCTGAGCATAAGCGCAAAAAGGCAGAAGGGCATTGTTTGCATCTGGTGCCTGCACCTCTCCACGAGCTACGAGCAGTTGCGAAGATGCGCCAGCAACTCGCCTCCCGAAGGAACAAGAATACGCAGCAGAGAACCACCTAACGAGTAACTCTATTTCCAAATCAGCTACGAAGCTGCCATTGTGAATGTCCTATGGAAAACTGAAGTGCGTTGAGAAATTGATAAGCCTTTCTTCCGGCCTTCGTTCTGTGATCTGACCGACCTGTTACAATGAAAACTATCTGACCAGCAACGACGCCATTTCTCAACAGCTTCTGGGCGCTACAGGTCTCCGTAGCAGCAGATGAGCCTGAAAACGAGCAGAAGTAGTACAGAAGCAGCGAAATTCCAATGATGGCTTCCTGTTCCTCCCGTCCTCGGCCCGCGTCGAAAGGAGCCACGCAGCACCGCATGGACAAATAGCGCATTACCAAAACGATAAGCCATGGGCGCTTCTCCATACAACCCAGGCTAGGCCGTAGCCGTGATGAGCTTACTTGGAAGCTTGCGTCGCACTCTATCTACCGCCTTTAAATAGGCATCTTCGACTTTCGGGGCCGCCTGCTCAATTATCTGGAGAAAACCGAGCATGTGAACCGGCAAAACAAGGTCATTGAAAATTCCAGCGCCTGTGCACCTATCCTTCGTACCAATTTCGTGCGTCTGCTCGCTGTTCCGTTCAGTACGTGCTAAAACTAACACAGTTGGGAATTTTGCATAGCCCTCACCGTCTTTCCACCCCATGTGGTGTGCATCTGCGAGAAAAAAACACAAGCGCAGAACTTTAAATATCCATGAAATATACTACAGCCCGCTTCGTACATAACCCGAGCTAAGAAACCGAGCCATTCGTCTCACAAGCTCTCTTGCAGTGATATCCACAGTTATCCCGTCAACGTCGAAGGTAACATTGACTGCATACAGAGTAGCAACAGAAGAAAAGCATAAGGGGGGAAATCCATTATACACACCAACGCTAGCAATGTTCTTCCACAACACACGTGAACAAGCCGCATATGCTATGCAAACGGTAAGGTATAGGGGGAAAAGGGATTGGCGTCTGGCAGTGTTCAGAAAACAAGGTGTCACCTGAGCGCATCGCCCAGGATGGCAAGGAGAAGCCCATGACCTTTTTCATGAGTTTTGTAAGACCAATCCGTGCCTATTGAGGAAGACAGAGAACCAAGCGAAACAGGTCGCCATCAGGTCTGGGCACGTTGCGGAACGCAGTTTGCAGCACTGTTGTCTTCAATAGTCGTGCCCTCACGCCACCAAGCGCCTCAGTTCAAGTGGAACGCTTACGGATTCATTTTTAATCTTAGGAAAGGAGTACCTCGGACCCCTCAGCTTGCTGAACCAGGTTTTGGAATGTGGAGCCCGAACTTCCTGGCCTCCTTCTGAAGGGCCACTTCCACCTTCGCTGTGCGCGCTTTCTGGCAGTGCGTGACTCGTGGAACTAGACGAAGCTTTAACGTCATGAGCTTCTGGTGCTGAGCTTTGTAGCCCACTTGAAGAAGCCCAAAATCCACCGCTACCTGTTGAACCTCTAGCTTTCGCTGACGAAACACTTCCCTTATGGGGGTCATCCTGCCATGAAACACTGCGACTTGGCTCGGGGCCTTGTAAAGGTGAGCGAGCCCCCAAATCAAATGGTTCTGCAACATCCTGTGGGGAATGGATTCCCCATCTGGCGCGAGGTGCCTCACGACGGTCCAGCTTCTCTGCGCCACCACTTGCATGCGATCCCTCCATCATACCCCATGTAACAGCTCCTCTGCGTGAGGCTTCACCTGATCCGGAGTCAGCAGAGGCGCCTCCAACGGCTCCCTGCTCTCTTGACGGATCCAACAAAGGCGACCCGCTGTCAAAAGAAGACCGATGACCCTCGTTGCAAGCTGTAGAGCAGAATCCCACAACACACGCAAAAAAAAACTGTGAAGACTGCCGCCATTGCACGCATTTTGCTTATCTCAGCTGGTAAATCCAGGCATTTGCACGAAGACTAAAGCCGCAAACGTCCCAGGAAAAACGTGTGAACCGCCATGAGAAGGAATAAGAAAAAGAGGCTCTCTGCACACAAAACCCGCCTGTGACAGTTATCTCTATTTTCCCCGAATGCGAATCAGATCCATCCTGTTTAACCTCGAACATCTCAGCAGCAACATGTGGCTCTGCGAAGCGCACAGCAACAGACACGTATGCAGAGGCCATCCGATTGTAGCTTTCCGCCCTTCATGCAGCTGGCGTGTGGCCCTTGCGAAGTCGCTGCGTTCTACAGAGCGCAAAGCGCAGAGGGAAAAGGAATTTTTGCTCCAAAACAACAGCGATACTGTCTTCATAGAGGAACCTACCGCCCCCTCTTGACCACACTGTGCCCACTGCCTTCCAGACAGCCTGCTCCAGCTTTTCACCAGTGCCTCCCAAGGTCTACAAAAAAAATTGTTCCAACAGGCAGTACCAACACACCAGGCAGCCAGTTCGTTGAACCGTGCTTGCAAAAAATCCAACATACATGGCTTTTCCGCCTTCTTTGCCGACTACTGTCGCGAATATTCGTCGCTGGAGAAAGTGACTCACGGCCTTGTCAGGCCAATTACGCCCAAAACTGCCTTTCTGCAAAAGAAATGAAAACACATCGGCCACGAAAAGCAAATGTTCGCAAAAACGCTAAGTAACTCTTCAGTCTTCTTGATGGAGGCTCCAGGAGGCATACTTACCAGTTGCACGACATCGACGGCCACATGCACGCCGGATAGCGTAAAAGTAATCGTTTCTGCATTCACCAAAAGAAAGAATTTGAAAATATGAGGAAAATACCACCGGCCTACGCTACAGGGGTAGTAGGCAGCACGCCCCAAACACTTCCAAAAAAAAGAACACTTTTCTGCCTAGCAGCGGAAAAACCACACGTCTGCATCTAAAAACTGCAGCAGGTACTACAGGGATGTGATGGTGACGTACTAGAGGATTTCCCCCGATGAGAGCGACGGCTTTTCAAAAACTCCATGAAGGTCTTGAAAGCCGACCTTGCCTACCGAACACGCAAAAAAAGAATGGCAATCCCGGTACAGCTACTGAAGACGGAGATAAGGATGATTGTGAACCCAAACATGTTGTTGTCGCCATGCCTAGTTAATATTGAGTTTTCTGAATGGCAGAGGCACTCGGCCGTGCGCCAAGATTGCAGAAAAGCCACAGACAAGGCCGTGAAGCGTACTGCGGGGTCAAGTACAGACGGGAAAGAATAATACGGCGGCTCCCCCTGGGGCTTGCGAAGCGTCAAGAGTTTATGCGAAATGAGAGAGGCGTGGGAAGCGTGGTGAGAACGGCGGTTGAGATCGAAAGTGCTGCGCGATGGACTTGGACCAATATGTGCAGTGCTCTGCGACAAAGTGTTGGAGATGCCGCGCTGCCGGTGGGCACCGATGTCACGGGAGGGGCTGCCATGAGAGCGCTGAGTCCTGGTCAGGACATCCTGCAGCAAAGACCTTCTGCGGTGCGCAGTGCCCTCCGCGGGAGGGGCACTGTGCTGGCCGAGTTCACTCAAGCTTCCTCGGGTTTCCAACTCTTCCCCTTCATCATCCTCAGCCAGTGAAATGTGAGACAGTGCTGCACTGACTGACCCCTTCTGCCGGCTGCACAGTTCCTCCTCCTGCGCAGCAAATGCAACACAACCACACGAGTTCCCACTCTGCCCTACGATCTCGCCACGTGCATACAGCTACTTGAATAGAAGCAAAGCCAGCACTGCGCGATCGGCCTGCGTCGCCCCGAAAGCAACTGGCCCGTTCGCCGCCGCTGCTGCCGCTGCTGCCGCTGCTGTCGCTGCTGCTGCTGCTGCCTGTGCGGTCATTACGTCGGAAGAAAGCAGCCTTGCGGAGAACGGCGTAGGCGGAGGTAGCCTGGTAAGGAGCTTCCCGCATCGCAAGACCATGTAGGCCACGGCGGTCGCCACCAACAAAATTGCCAAGCTCAGAACAATAGGGCTTCCAATCCTGTGTCTACGGCGCAGCTGAATCGGTGGGGCAGCATGATCCAGCCACTCCCTGTAGGAAGCTCCTTGAGGAACGCCTGTCTCCTCTGCTTCGAGGGCCACCGACATGCTAGGCGGAGAGACAAAAGAAGAACGGACATATTCCATCTTTGGAGGAGTGCGGATAGTATATAAAAATACCTGTTTCTATCCAGTGGGGGAGCAGAGAAACTGTCTAGAACTTAAGGTGGCAATATCAACATTGGTCACGTCGTAGTTGAAGCACAAGCAGTTGCACCGGAGAAGAGTAAGAAAAAAGACTCGAAAATTCCTCAATATAAAACTCCACACAAAAAGCGATAGACTTTTTGGAGATATTCGGGCTGAACAATGTCTCTGACCCTAAGACAGAGCAACCAGCAGCTGCTTCTGGGCTAGTTAGTCCCTGTGAGCGCTCGAAAGCTGCGGTCCCCACCAGCAGTTGGTTTCTGCACAGTGCTTCACGGTCTGGAGCTTCTGAAAGCTTTGACTAACAAGTGCACCATCATTTTCTGTTCTCAAGTGAATGCAGCTCATTGGAGCGTTGAGACAGTTCCACGCTTCTGTTTTCGTGTTGTAGGGCTGCTGGGTCAGATAATGGTCTTTGGGGCCAAGACTAGTTTTGGGTTAATTTGAGATACTGCGACAAATGCATCTAATACAGAGTAATTTTCCTACGCATTCATTGCAATGAGTATATATATGTGCGCTTGGAGCATCGCTTGATTCAGACAAAGGTGACAACTTCGCCGTACGGGAGAAGCAAACCAGCGCAGTAACATGTGGCCTCGAGCAGATCGCTAGACAACTGCCCGAAGTAATCTCATGTAATCAAATATTTATTTTAAAATATTTAGATAGAACATATATGTGTAGTAGGCCCTGCCTTTGGTTGACTCCTGGCTGGCTGCTATAGCCCTGACTACGAAACTTGTGGGGTGCGGAAGGTACGTTTCAGAGCTGCGGAGCCTTATTGACTGGTCCCATACATTCAAAAGCCCCTAATTTTATAAAAGAAGCAACAAATCATTTTTTCGTTAGTCTCTTGTCTGTAATTCTTCGCGCATTGTTTCGTTGTATTTCGACGGATTCTGCTCCAGCTGCACCCCCAACCGATTTCGAGCGTTAAGGCGTGTTTCACACTGCCGTCGGCGTTTCATCATTTACAAATAATGCACTTGCTTCGGTAAACAACTCTCTTTTATAAATATTTTTTGTTGAGCCAAAAACGAATAAACTGGCACTACCATAATTACGCACGGCCCATCGAGCCAGAGGTTTTGGGAGCGAATTGCGAGACAAGCATTTAACTCTAGCTACTGGAACTACTTTCTCATGATTCGAATGCATCTAGCATACTTCATAGTAGCAAGATGAGGCTATGGCCAGTGTCTAGAGATGAAAAGGGCTGGGACCCTGGCATTATTCCATTGTAGGCGTCGCAGGTCCCTGTGAAAACGACACTGCTTCAGTAAGTGAATCCTTCTCGGGGCCCCAAAAGCATCAAACTGGTAGGGGCCATGCATTATTGATACATACGAAAGAGCTGCACACTGCCAGGCGACCATGTGCTGAGGAAAGCTAGAGCGAGCACCTTCATAATCTTGAAATCTATTAGCCGCATTCATTGTGCGCATTAGGTCTCAAGGGACTTACAACAATGAAGGACTGGTTTTATCGAGGCATAAACACCATGTACGGAAACTACATGAAACTTCCACTCTCTATGAGTGGAAGTTTCATGTAGTAGATAACGCTGGGTGTAACTACCGAAGTTTGCCGAAAATGCGGCTCTAGAGCTCGAGATGTTATCTTTAGAGTGTGCGTCTGTCTCGTACTCTGTCTAGAGTTGATGTATATTGAAAGTATAAGCAGCTAGATGCGGCCAAATAACTATACGGGCTTCTGAAAATCCACGGGATTATGTTATAAACGTTGGGGGTTGAATCGTACCCGAGAGAGCCCCAGTGTTTTGCAATAAGTGCTAAGCTGCATTGCATCTAGCATGAAGCAGCAAGCCTCTCTAAGTGCTTCATGCTAGAGCGCACTAGGACCTATTCTTCCTCAAACCTGTCGAGCCTTTCTCTTGGACGTCAAAAGAAAGTATTTCAACCTGGGGAACGAATCCGCCGCAATGGATTTATGCATCAAGACAGTCAAATAGGATCGCCAGAGTTGCGACAGTGGAGCTGCGAAAGCCGTAAGGACATCTACGGCGTCTACTAAACATATTTGTAATAAGTTGCGCACAATTTGTAACTACCAGAGAGGAGTCGACTGTTTCTATGCACGCCGCCCAAGGGCTGCAGCAACATCCAGTTCCTCGACTGTATCTCCCGCCAGCCTCATGAGCCTCCCCAGCCTACTGTTTGCGCGGTTGATGTGAGTTGGACTTCATGTGCATGCTTTGACAGTAGGGAGGCGAGTGTTCTTGGAATCTCGGGCTGTTGTAGGAAGTATATTTGCGGTAATGCAATGAAATTAGGGCCAGCTGTTTATACCCCCTGAGGGTCACTCACTTGTGAGCCCCTTTGTCCCGCAGCTCACAAAAATCCAATGCTACAGTTGTCAGTTTGAGAGAGTAACGCATTCAGGGCTCATCGTAGCTGCACAGGGAATGAAGCTTCCTCCGGTGAAGTGGGGCTCAAATGATGATGGACTCGTCCCACCAGGCAGTGATATAAAGTTTTGTAGCCATTATTGCCCATTTTGCAAGAGCCTCACCAGGCCAGCAGAGTCGTTCTGGAACATTGTACTAAAGAATACCCACTTTGCCTCTAACTGCAAGCAGCGGGCAGCCTGTGGTACATTTAAAGGAGCATCTAGGAGCGTCATCCAAATGCCTCATCTGCGGTCAGAAAAGTTCTTATAGTGCAGTGTAAGGCACACACACCTCTGGGCCGTGTTAGCTTTACTGGCATTTGCTATTCTGCCAATAAAACGTTCCGTAGCTTCTCAGTTTTGTAATTCTATGTGCTTCTTCTATGATGCTGTCTGTCTGCGTGCAAGCTTACAAACTAGCCACGCTCCCGGGGCTTGAGCAGCTAAATAGTGTGTAATTAGGCCTGCACAAAGGGCACTGATGTGAATCCAGAATCAATGTTAATTGATTCATGTGATGCCATTCACCACTCGCGCCCTGGACACGACGAGATCGGGCAGCATATGTTCTGTTAACACGCAAAGAATCCTACGATGCCACATTATCACATAAGTTTTGATGTTTTTTGTTTGCTCGATGGTAGTGGCCTGCACAAATGTGAACTTTCAAGTCATATTGACCAGGTGGTGTGTACGGCAGGCCGCACGGTGACATATTAACGCCGAAGCAAGTATGGGAAAAACGGACATATTTTCAGGCGGATGAATTAAAATTTCATTGCGCTTTTGGATGGGTTTGATAATGCATGCCACCAGCATGCTCTTGTGCGATATATAGGGGGTAGCCCATACGGAAGTTTGCTGCTGAGCGACGCAGCAAACATGGGAGCACAGGTTGTGCACTTCTCCTCCACAGAAGGATTACAGGTTTGCAAGCCACGTAAACAATATCGTGTTGTCATAAAGCTCCAGTGGTTCCCAAAATCGGAAAGTCACGGAACACTCCTTCAACTTGCCCTTTACCAGCGGACTCAGTCACCCCGCTCGTGGGATGTACACTCTAGGCGGATGATGTCACAATACTTAAGGTAAGTCTGAATAACCCCTTAGACTTCATAAGAATTCTGTCGGTGCCATGGTCAGGCGTTCGGTTGGCGCCTTGTTGGAACGACTGTACTTCCTACGGGAGTTCCAGGGCGGAGTGCTAGTGAGGTCGTTCACTGGACCCAGAATAAGTCCCACATCTGCTGTAGCTAAAAGATGTAGACGGTGTGTTATTCCTCGGCATTATTCAGCAGAAAAGTGTTGAAGCACTTCCGCAGCGACGGGACTGGTGCAGCGGTGTAGTCAGCTGCAGTGAACCTCTGTGGCTTGATACTTCGCAGCTATTCACAAAAAATATTCTTTTCCAAACTTAGAAGCAACTGTGGCAAGCCAAAGCAAAGAAACCTGTAGGCAGTTGCAAAAGAGGGCCCGGGCTCCAAGGCAGTCATAGGCGTGGCCAGGATAAGTCGGGGATCGTGTACAACCGCCCTTACAGAGACAAATTGAGCGACTTGCTCAAAGATGCTAGTTGACAACCCAAGTTTCATTGTGCCCAGCACGTCAGCCCGTGAATTCCGTGCACGGATGTCGGTGTACTACGAGTAGTTCAGTGAGAGACCACACCAGTGGTGAATGGGAAGGGACTGGCAGAGGGCACAGGGCATATAGCTGATAATTGTTTCCAAAAAATGAAAGGGTGTTTTTCAAAGGGAGGAGTGCTAGAATTAGGGAATGCCTTGAATTTCGAAAATAGTAAGGCGTACGTGGCGACTGGAACCTGCGCTGGAGTAAAAGAGCCTCAGCCAAACGGAACGTGCGATTCACCTGATCCTAACTCCCTCCTTTCGCAAAGTACAACTGGTGCGAGGCAGACACTCACGTTACTGGTAAGCGGGGCAAAAGTCGTTTTTTAAGGGACACTCACAGCGAAGTTGTTCCTCCGGGCATTACGGAGCTTCGAGCATCTCTGTCATGACTAGGACAACACATAGGAAGTGGCAGAAACCGGCCTGCTCAAGTTTGACACGTGCAGGACACATTGTAGGAGACTGCTAGTGAATTCATCGTTTGTCGCCGGTTGGTTCCGCAAAGAAGACAGAGTGAGGGTTCTTTTTGCGTAGTCGGAAAGGCAATGCTTTGCGCTGCCTGTCACACAGAATTGAGTACAGGACTCAAAGCGACCGTAGAACAACTTAGGCAGAAACTTTCAAAGTTTAGCTAGCATAACCACTGGACAATCCCTTCGCACGCGGAAAAGCGTATGCTGGAAGGCTAACTAACATTCATTTACCCGTGAGGGCATGGCTTCAATTGCAAAAGATCAGAGTACAAACGCCAGATTTCTATTATTCTGGAGAAGAGATTGGCGCGAGATCTTTTCAGTAGTCAATCTTGATGACCCCGTTGTACTTCGAGAGATGAGCATAGACACCTGGGTGGCAATGGGGGACGTGATCAGCAGAGTAGCCTGACCACGTTAAAAAATGATATAAGTGCTGCTGAACAAACTGCATCTTTGTTCGGGGCGTTGGGGAGAGCCGGTGATTGCATATTCGCCAAAATTGAGGTAATATGATGCCTCCACGTGCAATGTCGGGTGTATTGGAAAAGCCAACAAGACAGACTTGCAATGCAGCGCGAAGACCGAGGGAGGGCGCATCGGAAAGCGAAGCAGCAAAAGCAATGATGTGGGCACCTGCATAGTAATGACGCACTTGGTCAGCGTGTAGGTCAGTTGGCGTATCATAATTATAGAGGCATCAGCATGTGAATGCACTGGAAACTAGTGGAACATAAGCATTGAAGTTGGAAAACGCAAAGGTATAGGCAGAAGTAGAGCCCATCCTACTGGGCTTAATTTACCGGGGCTCCGCCCTCAGGTATAAGCTTTCTGTAATGGAGAAAGGACCTGAGTGCGAGTGCAGTATGTCAAGGACCGATGAGCCCCTTTCGACAACTACACGGTCGCACACTATTAGCAGGCCGACGTGGGTCTGCAAGAGAACTTTGAAATACTGGAACTCCCACTGTAGGTTTCTCGGTGGTCTGCACTTGCACATTTGCATGGAGTTAGAAGATCTGCTGAAAGCAACAGGCGCCAGAAGACGAGGGAGAGCCAAAGGCCATTACTTCAGCTGTATTCGCGAGACGCACCACCGAAGTAGCAAGGCTCTGGCTAATGTCTTTTCGAGGCTCCATAAGAAGTACTCATACACGTGGATCTTCAGCACTTTTGATGCGCGGGTTCCACAGACGAGCGGATACAGGGGAGGCTTCAGAACCCATAGCCTTCGTGTCGCGTCTGGAAAACAAACCCACAAAAAAGATAGGCTAGCGCAGAGGAATGCGCAGGAGTTGGCCTCGACTGACCTCGGACGAAACGGAGCAAACTTGTCCTCTAGCTTGTCAAAAAGTCCTTAGAGCTGTCAACGAGCAGCATCAGCTGTACGCTGATTCCTGTGTGGCCCCCTTTCAGTCCGTAGAATAAGGTGAGAACCTGCAGGCTAAGCCTGACAAACTGATGTGCCTGTCGACATCAAGCTGGGAGAGAGCTCCCTCAGCAGGCCAAGAAAGCATCCTACCTGCTGATCTTCCAAAAAACGGATGGAAAATGCCTCAATTCAGTTTGCCTTGAAACATATGAGTAGCTTAACACAGAAGCCTCTCAATTCGATGCTTCCCTACATCCAACGTTCGCCTGACTAACGTCTTTGCAGCATCTACCCCTCTTAAACCCACAGCTCTGGGGAACCCACTTCTTTGAACGCCTCTTACAACGGTCTGATGGACTTATTCCACTAACGTGTTTCCTATAGGCTATGCAAATATAGCTATATTTTTCCACTGCATGTGCTCCCAGGGGCGCAGCAGCTTGCGACCGTTCAAGATACGCTACAATCTCCATCAACTTTAACTATAGGCTCTGCTAGACGTCTTAAGGGTAAAAATACTATGTAGAGGTCAAAGGGATCGCTGCACGGCGACTTCATGCGAAAACTGAAACGAGTGCCACCTCTTCAGCTACCTCACCATTGCCTGGCCATGGGGAGAGCCAGTGCCGGGCTCATAAAAATGAGATTCGAGGAAAGATGAAATTAGCTGGAAAGAACGTGGCCTGCATGCAGTAGTGCATAGCACCATCCTTTGTGAGGCTGGACTGTGACAGCATCATTTCTGAACTAAGACTGACGGAAGACTACTAACGGAGAGCTGACGCGTTTCTTCTTGACAGAGCACATGAAAACATGAAAATTTTAGCCTTGAGTTCTGCTGGGCGCATGTTAATTTCGCATCCCGATACAAGCGAAACTAAAACCTGGCTGACTGACCGGAACCAGGGAAGCCACTGACCAGCTACGAAGACTATAGGGAAAACAACAACCTGGTCTAGGGGTTTAGAAGAAAAGGCTGTTCTAACGTAGCTGAGCCAGGTGCCACAGGCATCGATTCGAATGTACTCGGGCATCAGCCTGCCCACAATGATGTCTGTAACTTCGAGAAGATTGATGCTAGTTGCGGGCTGCATTGCAGGGTTGACACCAAAGGGTCCTGCTCTTCCTGGCCAAGTACCTCATCCTTAAAAAAAACTATAAGATACCAAAAATCATCTCTAGTACATCACAAGAGTGGCCCTGCACGTGGAATCGTGAACCCTCGTAGTCTCCATGAAGCGCATTCAGCTAGTGTATTCGACGCACAACGAGCTGGCCATTCCAGTGAGGTGTTCACTCGCTTTAGGTTCTCCGAGGAATCAAAAGAAGTTTAAAAGATGATAAAATGCTGGCGGAAAGAAAAAAGTCCTGGGCACAATCTATGTTAGTGCTGCTGCTGGTACTAGCAGGTGTAGCTTCCGTGTCAAAAGGAGTTGCCGCTCCAGTTGGCGCTGCGCCGACAGGAGGAACAGTAATAGTAGTAGCCCGGGTGTAAAACTGGGTATTTAGGCATAATTTTTATCTTGGACTGCAGCAGGGAACAATTACATCCTCTGTGTCTGCTGCCACGGGGCCCCAGCCTTCTGCTGTCTCCATACAGACTTGCTGCAGCACTGCCAGCCTCCGCTGCTGTGCATTAGCCCCGCTGGAGCAGCAGCTGTTGCTTCTCCTTGTCTTGTTTCGTACCTCGTTTCTTGTGGTTTTATGTAGTTGCCGCCTTTTTCATTCAGTTGCGCGTCTGCTGCTTGCTGCGGCAGCAGCGCAGCAGCAACAGCGCAACTCCAGCAACGGCAGCAGCAGCTGCAGCGGGGCAACCTGCGGGGCAGCGTAAACAACAGCACCGCTTCCCCTCCCTTGTGAAGCTCAGCGAAAGCCTGCCTAATCTCAGAGTCTCGCATTGCCGCCGCAGCTGCAACAACAGCCACAGCAGCGGCAACAGCGGGCATCCAGCAGCTCCAGCGGCAAAGGCGGTCTGGTAGGGGCAGAACCCGTCTCGCAGACCGCACCATTTGTTGCAGCATCACACAGACTACATATTGTCTTCTTTTGCCTCGCCCGCGCTGCAGCAGCAGCAACGGCCGCAGCGGCAGCAACAGCAGCAACGGCAGGCGGAACACAACCGCCGGTTGCTTTTGCGTGGGAACAGCTTGGTGACGGCACGGAGCAGCCCAGTTGCTCCCGAAAAGTCATTTCCTGCCTTCAGGCTGCTGGGAAGGTACCCGTAGCAGCAGCAGCGGTAGCAACGTCGGCGTCCGGGGCTGAGCAATTGGCAAACGTAATTGGTCGTCTCACTGACGCGTCTGTCGCTTCCTTGTCCTTCAGAAAAGCGACCAGAGGCAGCAGTTAAGGAGGCAGTTATAACCGCATGCAGCCCCCTGGTGCCCTGGATAGCGCCTTCGTTGTCTTATAGCCAGCACTGGATTCGGCTTTCCATTGGTGCATCGGCGCCTCTGCTGCAGAGTTCGTGGCTGCACAAGTTGTAGCAGCAGAAGCCGTCGGGGCTCAGCGAAATCGCCGCCAGTTGTTCTTTACCGGTGCCCCACAGCACAGCAGCAGCTACTTCTCATTTGGTGCCTTCATTTGTTGCTGCAACAGCACAAGAAACCAGTGTAGCGCCATTGGCACTAGCAGCCGCAGCAGCAGCTGCTGCAGTCCGAAGCAGCTTCCCAAGGCGCTGGCATCGAAATTTGCCTGCAACGTGGAAGCGTCGTTTGACGGTGGCGCGCAATGGACTCGCCTCCAGCGGCTGCTGCGGCAGCAGCCCCAACCTCCCCTGACCAGCAGCAGCGGCTGCAGCAGCAGCGGCAGCAGTACGAGAGAAGTTTTCTCCCATATCCTCCTCCGCCGCCGTCTTTCCCCCCTTTTCCAACTCCCATTTCAGCTGCGGCCACAGCCGCAGCAGCTGGCGAGCAGTCAGTGCATGTATGGGGCGTGAATTACTTTTGTCGCTCCGTAACGCTTGCCGCGACTGAAGCTGCAGAAGAGGCTGCGGCTATTGCTGCAGCAGCGGCAGCAGCAGGAGATGGATTGAAGCCCTTCAGCGCCTCCCCAGCAACTGTAGGAGGCCTTTTGAGGGCGCTGTTGTCAGAGGAGTCGCTTTCAACAGATCCGTTTCTTGCTGCTTCCATTCAGCCCGGGGAGTGGTTGCTGCCTCTGTCGGTGCTGCTGCAACATCCTGCCATTCTTTGCTGCGGCGCGACTAGGGAGACCCTTCTGCAGGCCATCTCATCACTTCCTGACATCGCGTTTGTGCAGCGCCAGCGGCAGCAGCAGCAGCAGCAAGAGCGGGGCTCTTCGCTTTCGCCTGCGCTGCCTGCAGCAGTGGAAGCAGCTGAGGGAAGCGAGCAGCAGACGCAGCAGCAGGACGGGGAAAATGGGGCTTCACCAGAGAGTGAAGACAGCACGCGTAGTGCGGCTAATGCGGAACCAGCGGTGGCAGCAGCAGCAGCAGCAGCAGCACTGAGGGAAGAGCCGACTACTAGGAGCGGCTCGGCCGCAGGGAACGCGAGCGGAGATGTCAGTCCCTTCACAGAGACGACTTCAGCCACCCCTTGCAGCAGCAGCAGCAGCAGCAGCAGCGGAATGCAGGAGTTTCTGTCGCTTGCACGTTTGATGGAGAAGGGAAGGAACACCCTTGTCTTACGAAACTTGCCTCCAGAGACAACTAAAGAGGACATTCTTGCCATATTGTCTAGGGCCCCGTCGCTGCTGCAGCTGCAAGAGGAGAACCGGAAGCAGAAGTCGCAGCAGGGGAAAGGTGCGAAGGACGAGAGCCCAAAGAAACAGGAGCTGCAGCAAGAACAGAGGCAGGGGGAGGAGCAACAGCAGCAGCAGCAGCAGCAGCAAGAGGATGCGGATCACAGCTGGTGCAGCATCAGGAAGGACGTTAATGACACTTGGTTTGTCTCCCTGAAGGGCTCAGCCCCCACTCAGGATGTTGCCTTGTGGCTTCGCACACAGGAGCTCAATGTAAGTAGACAGGCAAAAGAGGTGTAGAATTATGACAGCAACCAGAGAAACAAATAGGTTTAAATTCATTCAAATCGGGTCCTCTTTCTCCCCAGTCTACTCCCTTTTAGGGGTGCCACAGAGCAGTTTGTTTCTGTGTCTTGCTGCTGCTCACTTTTCTCAGGGCAAACCCCTACAGGTCGGGATCAAGGCTTCCCACGCGCTGCACCGCGTCGTCTCCGCGCAGGCGACAGCAGCAGCAGCAACTGCAGCAGCGGCGGCCCCGCGTTTCTACCCGGCTCCGGCTGTCGCTTTGGCAATGGGCCCGCATCCTGCGCCCTTTGGGCCGCCTGCAATAGGCGCAGCTTTGCCAATTAACACAGCGGACATGGCTGCTGCTTTCTTGCCGCAGCAGAGGCGCACGGTGAGGCCACAGAGAGGCAGCAACCGCGGCACGCGCAATGCAGGAGGCTTCACTTCGCCGGGTGCTTATGTTCCCGCCGGGAGCCCGCAGAGCCCAGCCCAGAGAGGGGGAGGTGGCCAGGGGAGCTCTCTGTCAGGTGGCCCGCATGGGGCAATGGATGCGTACAGCAGACTCCCATATTCACATCATATCCCTGGCTACCCGATGGAGGGGGACTTCTACCCGTTTTTATGGCCGCAGAGTCCGCTGCAGCGGCAGCATATGCTGCAGCAGCACCACTTGCTGCAGCAGCACCACCTACTTCAGCAGCAGCAGCACCTGATGGGGTGCTGCTGGATTCCTGCCCTGCAGCAAACCCCAACTGCTGCTGCAGGGGTGCCGCCTACCAGTACGCAGAGGGGAAATGGCGGCGACGGAGCAACATCAGCAACAACCCCGTCAGCTGAAGGAGAAGAACCACGAAGAGCACAGCCCCAGCTGCACCAGCAGCTGTATTACGCGCCAGCTGGCTTCGTGTCCCCGCACATGTTCGTCCCTCTGCCTTACATGGCAGCGCGGCCGCTGCAGCACTACATCCAGCAGCAGCCTCAGGGCTTTCTTTCCCCGCAGCAGCAGCAGCAGCAGGGTTTCAGGAGCAGGGGCGGCTACGCAGGCAGGGGCCGTAGCGGCAACCGATGGTGGGGCCCCGGGAGAGGCTCTGCCTCGGCAGGAGTCGTGCGAAGCAATCAAGCTGGAGGTAAGCGCCGTGTGCTTTTCGTGACTGGCCAACAGCAGATTTTGGAGTTAAAGCGTCAAGTGCAACAAAGCAACTGTGGTCCTTGTGTGAATTCAGCAGGTGGTAGCCGCGGTGGCGGGAGACGGAGGGGCTCGGGAGCCCCATGGAATGCAAGAGGAGGTCTTTCGACGGCGGAAGAGCAACAGCAAATGCAGCAACAGCAACAGCAGCAGCAGCTTGGCAGCTCAAGCAGACCTACAGCGGGGACAGATTCTAGCGGCAGCAGCTCGGGTAACGGTAGCGACACAGCAGGGAGGAGGAATCCCGTTGCACCAGCAGGAGGAGTGTCGGGAAGTAGCACTGCGCGCAGCCGACAGCAGCACCTCTCTCTAGAGGCTGCAGACTTTCCTCCTTTAGGGACTACCACTTTGCCCAAAGCTCCCAAGGCGCATGCACAACGCAAGAGTGAGGGGATGCCACGCTGTGCTGCTTTTGGAGCGCACGCTGAATGCTGTTGTGCACAACCGGTGTTGCGCATTGCTGTATGATGATGCAACCGTTGTTTATTTTCTGCTGCAGCGCAAAACATCTCACGAGCTGCAGAGGCAACGGAATCTGGAGCGCCCACTGAGGCGGCCCAACCTACAATGAACGATGTAGGACGAGGCGTAGGGATCCGGGACCAGGGTTGTTAAGGGAGGGCGGATTGCAATTTCGAGCACAGGCCTGCAGTTTATGGTTTAGTGCTTCCAAATTAAGGGTGGGTTTCCGAATTCCTGTTTAGGATTCCAGACTCTCGTTTTTCCTCAGGAGAAGAACTCATCATCGTGAACTGCCCTCGAGCGGTGACCTCTTTTTACGTGACGAGGCACTGTGGTGCAGCGGCATCGGCGGGATCATTAGCAGCAGAGTCAGCAGCAGCACTCGGGTTTTCTGGAGAGGTGCTGCGGTTTTTGGGCAGCTTGCATTCCAGGAAGGCCGCCGACTGATTTCTGCAGGGCTGTTGTCGGCCTCTTGTAGAGCTTCACGCTTTCCCTTGCAAGGAGTAAGCAACGAAAGCTAGAGAGGGGTTTGTCTTGCGCGCACCCGTAGCAGCAGCGGTGTCCGCAGTGTTGCAGCAGACTTTGCCGCCGCACGTGTATTGGGAAGCAGCCAACAGCCGTTTCAGCAGAAGTCTCTGCTGATCATCGCCGCAGCTGTTGTGAGCGCTGCCCAAGAGCAGGCCGCTGTAGCAGGAGCAGCAGCTGTGGCCGCTGTTGCCGTGCCTTCGTCCTCGTGTAAAGAGAGACGCACGGAGAGGAAACTGAGTCTAAATTTTCTGCGGAGCAGAGGAGTGACGCATATGTTTGGGGCCCGGAATGTTTTCTTCTCTGAACCGTTGGGTGCCTCCGTTTTTCCATTGTCCTGCATGACTTGTTGGGTTGCCCGACGGTTGAGCAGCATTCACAGGGGACCCCGTAGGTTAGCCAGGACGATATGTTGTGCTTCCAGGGAAGGGCAAAGCAAGCCCAACCCCATTCTCAGAACTGGGTGGCTGCCAAGGCGGCGTTGCAGAGGGTCCTTTGGCCTTGTTTGCAAAGCTATCTGGGTATTGTAGTGGGCGCCTTCCATATTCATCCATGGCTTTGCGGACAACTTAGTAGCTCCCCCGGTTCCCGTAGGAAGGAGGGCTCCCTCTGCTAGAGTAAGGAAGGGTTTGAAAAGTCCCCCATGGTTGCTGTTGCTGATTTGCTGGGGATGGTTGGGGTCATCAAGGGGACCCCTGAACGGCTTCTGTGGGAGCCTCGTCTCGTCGTTCGTGAATGCGAGGCAGCCGTCAGCTCAGCAGGAGGGGGCATAATGTCACTCCAGGAACCAGCAATGCCTCGCACGTTAGGAGACCCGAAGTATGGATGCAACGATACATCTACATGCATGGATATACAGTAGGACTATGTATATTCATTGTATGTGCATGAGGCTCTTTGAGATATGATTACGCATACTTGACGTTTCCGCGACAATGATATTACATCGCATGGATGTGGACTGGAATTGTGGCGGCCTTCCCACCAGAAGTAAGCCTGCATGTATCTGTGTACACGTATACATGCGTTTCTGTTCAGACACACATGCGTAGATTTGTGTACACTTCCGTGTACATACGCATTTGTGTATAGGTATATGCGTGCATGCATTTGTATATGTGTTGGCTCACTGGTACATATGCATACTGTACATTTATGTATGTAGGTACCCCCATGATGTACATCGAAGTACATACAGACAAACGGCTATGTGTAACTTCACAGCTGCATGCCGCATGTGTGCACACTACACGCGCCTACTTGAGCAACGCCCATATAATTGGGTCCCACCGGTCTTATGTGGGGTTTAGGACCCTCGGAATTGCCGACTGGTTTATAGTGGCGCCGGGGTTTTGGAGGGCTGTCGCTTGGATTTCTTGGGGCCCAGCCTCCTAGCTGCCAAGCCGTTTAGGGGGCACCGGTGATAAATCTTGGGCGTCGCTTGCCATAGATTGTTCTGGGAAGCTCTAGCTGCAGAGGGCGTTGCACATTGGGGGTGCTTGCGCAACGTCTCCCCGAGGACTGCTTTTCCTGGGGTCAGATGTTGCGGGGGGTGGGGGTCCCATGGGCCACTCGTCAGTTCCTCCATTCAAAACGGCTGTGCAGATACAGTACAGCCGCTACTGCTGCTGCATTTTGACCCCTGCGTACCCGTAGATGTTTAGGAGGACGCCTGTTCAGTGTTGAAAGCGATGGAGTTGGATCTAGCTAGGATGCGTACAAAGGGGCATACATTCCATGCGGACAAGCGAACGCTTTTACGCGTAGTCAGTCCGCTCTGTACAGGCTTGCTCAGACGCAGCTGAGCATGGCCACCACGTAGAAGTACTGCTGCTCACTCCAGGCCCACTATGTACTTACTTCGGTGCTTATAGTGCTACTGACGCTCAAGGGGAAGGTGCCAAAAAGCGGAGGAGGTGCGAGTAAAAAGCCCGTGACATTTGCTTCTTCCCGTTGCTCTCAAGCACGGCACCGCCTGTTCTGTGCTGCGTCTCGGTGGATACTCAGCGCGGAGCGGGGCACAGTTGGCGCAGGGCTGCAGAATGCCAGCGCCATGAAAACCCGCTACTGTTGCCGAAAACAAGCCGGCGCGGCGAAAGTGGTATATCAGCCAAAGAGCAGATTCATGAATGGGGACCCGACGGAGCATTGAAATGCCGTGGTGTAAAATGGGTGGAGCCGTACAGGCGAAGAGAAGAGACCCAATATGTGTGGAGCTCACCAGATGGCGAGCAAATACCGTAGCAGTGTGATGTGTACATGCCTCCGTCCACAAAATGTCTTAATCCCGATCTTGCCTCAATGTGCAAAGTTCATTGTGGCCGCGGTTCAAGCCTCTCCAGCTCCTTGCGTTACTCATATGTTCGTCGTTGCCCGTGAAGTATGTCGAGGGGCTTCCTTCCGTTTTCCCCGCCGCTCATCGTGTGCTTTTGTTTAATCACCAGTCGCCGTCCCGGTGGTGTACGTTGTTCTGCCGTGGTGACCAAGTACCAGACGGTTAGCACCGCCAGCGGGCATCTGCAGAGCTAAGCTGATTTCCACTTCACGTACCTCTCATACTCTTGCTGCACAGCCCCGACTGCCCGAAGAAAGAAGCTACTGTTGCTCTGGCTTCTCCACTGCCCGCTGTACAAATTTAAATCTTTACGTTATTGCCGTAGTTCCGATTTTGCGATTACACCGGTCCAGGAGGCAATACAGTTCACATGCGATCAGGGGGAGCAGTGAAGCCCCTCATCTTCAAAAGTGCCCTTCCTTGCGCCTCTACACAGTAGGCAAGCAGCTTTGGCGTACGCCCTAGACTCCGTAAAGGCATAGCCCGAACTTATTATTATTTCTACTTATTAATCATTATCTGAAACGCTAGTCGCGGTCTCCCTCAGCCTTTGAAATGGTGCGAGACTACGTAAATCTTCCTGCATTTATTGCCGCTATTGCTGCTGCTGCCACAGCCGTTGTTGCTCTTGTCCAGCCTGTTCCCGCAGGCGAGAGAGCAGCTGCAGGAGGCGACATCCCACAATGACTGAGCTTCTCCAGCGGCTGCCGCTACACATACTTTGCGGTTTTGGTGTGTCTACAGCTCCCTCAACTGGGAATTTGAGCAGAAGCGTTCCAACTTGTTGACGCAACTGCTCTCTACGTCTCGCTGCCTAGAGGCAGATCAAACCATTTGCTGACTGCGTCTCGCAGCTCCATCCAGGCCTTTTCTTCGGAATCATTTAAAAGTTTTAAGTCCCATGGCATTTTCGTAGCTGTCTGTAGTTCATCTCTCGCATGCGCCAGCCGCCGCTGAAGCTGCGAACGCAACACGAACAACACAGTCGCAGCCGCGGGAGGTAAGCCACAGCAGCTGTTAAGAAAACAACCACACCTACAACATATGGCGAGAGCGTCTCGCCATATGTTGCTACAGTTTATGTGATGTTGACAGCTTTGGACAGGCCGGACTCTACATTTCGCACCAAGTCGGTGGTTTACTAGGCTTCAGGCTAAGTTCGGTGACACATACGTATACATACACGCAAATACCGACGCAAGAATTTTCGGGGGACTTACCGTTTCAGGCGTTTCCGTGTTCCGTTGCCTCAGCCTCCTTTCAAGCTCCTCAAGTGAGGGAGGCTCAATAAATACAAACCTGGCGCCTTTAAAATGTCGACTCCTGATGATGGAGACGCCCACCAAATCTATCTCTAACAGACAGATCTGGCCTAAGGAGCTGGACAGCAAGCACATAAAGTGACAGCACAAACTCCGTATGCCCACGCATGCCAGCCTGCTTCCATTGACGCCCTTGCAGCTGGAGATAGCTGTTTCTACAAGGGCCATAACAGCATAGGTAAATCAGCATGCACGTTAACTAACGGGAGAGTCATCCAATGCGAAGTCACAGAAAGAAGAAACGAAGGGCCCACATGACTCAGTTACAGTAGTATGCAAAGAACGAGAAGCTACAGCAAATCCAAGGAAAAGAAGCAGGATTAAAAAAAGAAGCTGCACAAGAGAAAAAATATACCTTTAGACGGGCAATACAAACCAGGGAGAGCGACACAAACAGCAAGATATAATTAGCAAGACCAAAACAAACTGCTCAGCCTCACGCTATCCTCTGGACCTCCGCCACTGAAGTCGCGTAAACATTGCCCGAAAATTCGGCGTGTTCTAGCAGATCGCCTCTGTCGCGCAGAGATTCAATCTCTTCGCGAGAAATGAAAAAATACTCCCGGCCCTCTTGCTCTCCAGGTCTTGGCTGGCGGGTGGTGTGGCTGACTGAGAAACCGAAAGCCTAAGGAGGAAGCAGCAGCAACAGCAACTGCAGCAGTAACGAGAATGCATTTATATGTTTCATCCCATGGTCAACAAACAGCTGGCTATGACTCAGGCAAAATACTGCAAACCCGCTACTACTACGGACGCCGGCGGTAAGATGGAACAGAAAGATGCAAAAAGCAACAGAGAGACGCGCACCACTGATAAGCCGAATACACTGCTGAAATTGATACGGGGAGAGCAGATCAGCTGGGATCATGAGACAAGGGGAAGAAAACGGCACAGACAGCGAATGGAACCATCCTAGAACCAACTGCATTGGGAGGCAAAAAGGATAATCAGGGTCAGAACGAGAACCAGAACAGAACATCCTGGGAACAATGAAAAAAAAGCCCGTTTTTTCCTTCTCTTGAAGCCTCCACTGCCCGCTTGCCGTAAATTCATTCGCCTCCACAGTGTTCACTCAGATGAAGAGCAGGAAAACTCACATTTGGCCAGTTGGCCCTCAGCCGCCTGACAAGAGTCCCCTTGCCAACGCCGCTTGGTCCCGCTATTATCAGTAGCCGCGGCTCCATAGAAGGGACCGCTGAAACCTCAGACGTCCCAGAGTCAGGGCTTGGAAGGGTCGGCGAAGTCCCAGGTTGCGTGCAGGCGTC